TCATTGTACACTTACATACATAAAAGCAATATTTACGGTTTTTTTCTGTTAGGCTTGAATTCCGTTAATTTTTTGTAGCTTCGAAAGGACGCGTCGTCTCTCCTTCAATTCGAAACACCACAAATTATACCAACGTTTGTTTAACAAGCTGAATGCACGTGAATCCCGATTAACCAATGAAAATGAAACAACACAAAAGTAAAAATATCAGAATTTCTTTCTTCTTTTTCTCCATATCTCATTCTCTGATGACGCTTTGATAAAAGTGAAACATAATTAGATTGATAAAAGTTTCTTATTTCTTCTTTCTTATCATTTCTTCATATTATATATTCTTACATATCTTAGTCTGGTTAAGTTGAGAAAATGGGGATTATGACGATTGTGCTACGCCGGGGAGTCGAGAAAGCCTACTATCCTTGATATTCAGAATTCTCTCCCTTCTTTCCATATAATAAATTATTTATAAATTATTGTTAAAAAAACAAACTCCCCTTTAGCGAATGAAATTCATGTTTACTGATCTTAGCTTAGTCTGTTACAAGGCCAGAGTAATGGAGTACTCAGTGGAGATCGAATTCATTTTTTTGTAAATTGATCAGCATAGCTATTTTGCTGACTATCACAATATGATTCTATAGTTATTTAGTAACTTCAGTTTAGCATATAGTCACAAAGCAATTATTGAAGAGCGAACCCCTAAGTTATGTGGATAATCGTCCGAATAAAATCATTGTTAACTGAATATTAAATTTTCTGCAATTATGTTTTCAGGCTTACCGTCCGTTTTTATTTTTACCCACCCGAGAAAGAAGCCAGTTTCACAGATAATCCCCCTGGGTCTTTTTCATTACCCGATTCCATGGTCACGTACCCTGAAACATTAAATAAAAAGCTTAGCAGGGCAATAAACAACGTGTGCCATAAAATTGGGACCCAGTATAGTTTAGAAAAATCACGCGTGACGTGTAGGCCTGTCTCCTTGTATGTGTGCTGGGGTCAGATGTTTGTAAGAAAAACAGACATTTAGATCTGGGATCCATGACACTGATAAAAGGTATACATAATTTTACAAGCTAAGTAAACGAAAACTATATATATATATATATATATATATAGAGAGAGAGAGAGTTGGGTTTTCGACCATGAGACCTGAGTTCGAGTGTCACCATGTTCGATTTATCAGAGTCTTAACTATGTTATCGGCCTTAGAAGGCGATTTCAGTGTGTGGCACGTTTGGAAATAGTCCGAAAGCCACATCATGTGTTGACCAAAGGCTTTTGATTGAAATTGAACATACAGAACTATTCAGAATCCGTCGATGGTTGCGTTAGCCCGAAGTCATCGTCACCGAGTGTAGTTGAAACTGTTGATCGCTCCGGATGATGTGCTTACTGCCAGAAACTGTAACTAACGTCTGTTCAACATAGCTGCAGTCGAAACGACTTGTGGGCTCTAGTGTAGTAGAGCGAGAAACGAGTAGACATTATATATATATATATATATATATATATATATATATATATATACACTCTCTCTCTCTATATATATATATATATATATATATATATATATATATATATATACACACTCTCTCTCTCATATATATATATATATATATATATATATATATATATATATATACACTCTCTCTCTCATATATATATATACACACTCTCTCTCTCTCATATATATATATATATATATATATATATATATATATATATACACACTCTCTCTCTCTCTCATATATATATATATATATATATATATATATATATATATATATATATATATATATATATATATATACACTCTCTCTCTCTATATATATATATATATATTAAGTGGACATTAAGGTCAGCACCAACCAGCGACTGTCTCTTTCATGCTTGACTTTTATATATTAATATACGCTCTATCCCTGATATTGAGCACTTTAAACTTAAATAAAGCATATATATATATATATATATATATATATATATATATATATATATATATATGTGTGTGTGTGTGTGTGTGTGTGTGTGTGTGTGCAGACGCGAGGTGGCGTAACTGTTGCAAAAGTTATGATCACATCGCCATAATACCTTTGAGAAAGGCATGAGTCCACTTCCCCATGTATTATCCCCCATCAACGGATATCGTGAAAAAATATCTCGTCAGTTGCATGCCTTGAGAGGGGGGACCAGTCACATTGATAGAGAGATTTCTACAGTTGACGCTTGACTCCGATACACAGTGAACTCAGACAAAAAAATGTGGTTTAAGTACCCCCTCCACATACACACACACACAGCCGAATACACACCCACCCGCAGTAATATCCCAAATTCCGGGTATTTGAAAAGACAGGGTGATCAAATTACAAAATATGCTTTCTCGTATTACCCTGAACTTTTCGTATATCTCCCGCAATCAATCCTCTGAGAAACAAGGAATGTCGGAAAAAGTTGTGAACGTTTTTATCGAAAATTTCTCTCTTCTTTTATATGCCGTGTCCCTCTAGAACGTAAGCGATTATGGCTCTCCATAATTTCCTGTCCTTCACAGCTCTAAGCAATGTTTAACTCTATATCATCCATTTGCACAAACCCGTTACGTAGATTATTCGCTGTTTACCAATGCACCGAATTATACCCGGTGTTTGTTAAATTTTCCAAAACCTCAGAGTATATCCCAGAAATTCTAGTTCTTGCTTTCTGATTTTAAATATGTGTTCATCTGGTTTGCATTTATTTTTAAAATTTCGTGTATGAATTGTGAATACTATGTATTGTAAAAGATTTTTTTAGAAGTTTTTATGGATTTTTTTTTCTAATGTTCTTGCAGTTTTGCTTTTATGAATTGTCTGGAATGATTAGGATCCCAAGCGCTTTTGGCTAATTCATTAGCTATTTTCATGAGGGTCGTTGTTCGTATGTTTTCTTGTGTTTATCTTCCAAGTTGTATTGAACAGAAGTATTAGTAATTCTAAGCTGTGCTTGATGGGGGTGGGTCTTCAGAAGACCGCCAACATGCTCTTTCCGAGTTGGCTGAAAGCACTTGGGAAATAAGGTAGGTTCATTTTTCGCTTTTTTCATCGAATCAACATTGCACTCAGTGTGAAAGCTGGAGTTTGATATGATAAGCACGGACACCAAAAATTAAATTCATAGCTTTTACCAATTTTTGAGCATTTAATTTTAAAGACTGTCTGAAAAATGTACAGAAATACCTAATTTTCACAGGGTTTTGCTTACAAACTGACTTTAAATTTTTACTATTTCAAGAATAAATCCAAATAAAGTTGATATATTTTGTATTAGAAGGACTGAATGGAAAATATATAAAAACCAGAATTCTAATTATGAATCCCTACAAGCAAAATATCCAGTTTTTTTACTGTATTCGATAAGTAAAAACTATAAAACAAATTGTAAAAGATTAGAAAAAAGGCTACTCTATAAATAAGATTTGTTAGATTATAATTAATAAAAACAAAAAATAAATAAAAGTGTATATAACACCATAATACTGCTGGGCACACATTATTAGACAAAATGTTTTAAATTTGCACTGTTTATTGAAAATCACCCTAAAACTATTGCACTGTATAACATATTACATCAAAATATAGCTAAATTGTTCAGTATAATTTCCATTTGAAGTAAATGATGGTCTTATTTGATGACACAATGATTTAGTAATAATGTACTTGTGCCTTGCATCTTGTTTATATACAATTTGTAAAGCTTCAGTATATTATAAATTTTATAAGGCTTTCATTGATTACCGGAATAAAATTGCAACGTTCAAATTCTGAACCTAAACCTTTAACTTCTAACTCATTTCTTCAAAAAGCAAATAAGGAATTGGAAGCATATTTTGTGTCTGTATTTATCATCTCAAACTTCAACGTTCAAATTACGTATTACCACGAATCCAAAATCGATCTGCTCTATTGGGACAATAATCATTACGGACAGTTTTTATACTTTCTTAGTTCTCATAAATGGAAAACTGTAAGAAAAATGGAATAAGAAGTTATAAAATTTTTCCATTCAATGAAACATGAAGAAAGAAAATATTTCAATGGCAACTGCCGTGACGTTCATTTGTCCCTGGTGCCCTGACTATATGCTACTAGATTGGCATCTAGGTCCCACCTTTTTACTGCTGAAATAGTTGAATGCAACTTCCACTCCAACAGTTTCTTTTCTCGGACTTCTTACCTGTGGAACTCTACCGTTTACTTGTTTCCCTGATAAGAGAAATCATCAAAAAATTTAAATGCAACATCAATCGTATGTATATATATATATGTGTGTGTGTGTGTTAGCGCTATCACTGATATTGAGATTCTTTCCCTTAAGTACTGCACATACAATATATATATATATATATATATATATATATATATATATATATATATATAGTGCAATGGATAAATTGTAGTCTAACTTACGCAAAAATGAAAATAACACTAACATCTCATTTTAACACATATATTTATCAAAATTACACAAAAAATATCTTGAAATAGTAATGAGTAAATTTATTCAATAAAATCGCCATTAGCTTCAACCACGGCCTCCAGACGACTACGGAATCTTCTGCAACTCTTCTGGATGGTCTCCTTGTTTAAGTTGGCGAATACTGACATAATTCTTGCCTTCAGTTCATCTTTCGTCTTACAAGGAGTTTTGTTGGCCACTTGCTCAACTGCGCTCCAAACAATAATCAAGGGGGGTGCAGTCTGGGGAGTTAGGTGGCTAGATGTAAGGGAAGATGTGGTCGCAGAAATTGTCTGACAACCATGATTGGGTTCTCCTGCATGTGTGGCATGATGCATATATATATATATATATATATATATATATATGTGTGTGTGTGTATGTATGTACACATCAAGTGCTCCAGACAATTTGCAATCCTCAGCTGAGCGCTGCTCTTCAAAAGATTTGCGGCCCATTAAGTTCAGTATCTCTCCATACGGTGGGCCCACAACAGCTGGATGATGTTACGTTGCAACCGATCTATGGTGTTAGCTGGACGCGACTCGATACGAATTTCCAGGTAATCCAATGCACTGCCTTCCACCGCTTTCTCGCCACAGGTCTTTATCACCTTATTCGGCTTTTGCATACCAGAATCTCTTTAAGGAAGCAACAGGAAGTCCTCTACTGCCAATCTCAAACAAGCACCAGGGTGCAACCGTATCTCCTCTCACGGACCTCAGCCACCAGTTCCTCATACCGAAGCAGCTTTCTTTCATGAGCCTCTTCAATCCCTTCCTTCAATGTCACTGTCAGCTTGCCAAGCAACAGATGTTTCTTATTGCTATCAATAAACACTAGATCTTCTAGACACAATAACCTCCTCTAGCAATGTAGCATCAACCAACACTGTCTTCTTCCTTGGGCCCTGTGACATGGTCTTCTGCCTTGTGTTTGCCACACCTTGCTTCAGGAAGGCAATCCTTCACAGATCCATCGAGGGTATATTAGCACTTCTCGAAGCTGCTTCCACAATCTCCAGGACCAAGTTATGCCTAAAGGTGTACCAGCCATTCTGTAGCGCCTTCTGGCAGGATGACAGTATATGGCGCAGGTTTCCATATGCACCACAAAACCGACAGGTGGGTAACTCCTGCATTCCCCATCTCCTCAAATTTGTCGGTGATGCCGCCATATCATATGCTGCATGACTGAGGAAGTCGAAATGTCCTGCGCTGAGGCGCCACCAATCAGACCAACTGATCTGCACGCCATCAATATTCTCCCCGTTGAGCCATCGACCCTGCTGAACCTGTTTGACAGACTGCACCATTCGTCTCTCCCCCTCGAGCTTCCGAACCCCCAGTTCCTATAACTTACGTTGTTCTTATCCACTAGCCTCTAACCAGAATCGCACCCTCTCAACTAGACCAAGTCTAGCATGTCGACTCCCTTGTAAGACCCTGAACCTCTACCTGCTTTACATTCCCATCCACTGATGACATCACGTATGACGCTTTCCACCTTCTTCCTGTCTTTACCTCAGGTGCATTTTCCCAGATTACAGCATCTTTAGATTCACACAACATGGACTGCAATCTCACCTTTGCCACCTTGTACGCCCCCACCAAAGAAGTAACAGGTAACTGAAGCCTCTCCGAGCTACCATACAAAGCGACCGGTGACAGAATCCTCGCAACACCAAGCCACTTCCGTACGCATTTACTTATTTTCCTCTCCATTATCTCAACTCGAGACAGTGCCACATCATATATAGTTAGCGGCCACATTAGTCTCGGCATCAAACCAAAATGCATACACTAGATTTTAATTTTCCCAGGAAGCCCGCATTGGGCTATGCTTCACAGACCCATCTTCACTTGTCACTGGATTTACCCCGCGGTGACGATCTGTCACAGGGAGGTTATACCACCTCCCAAGACTATTCACACCTTGCTCCCGCACTGTTAGTATATTTTCCCCTGCGAAGGAAAACAATTAATTTATGACAGAACCTATCTTCATAGACAGTGACCTGTTCTTCCTTGGTTTGAAGGCCATCTGGTCCCACTCTACCAACTCTGCAAGTCTTTCCAGAACCAACTGTGCAATTTTCCAATCGTCTTTAATCGCTGTTAAATCATCCATAAATGTCTGGATTTTGACCTCATTCTGCAGGAAGTGGTACTCTGGCTCCAGACCTCTAAGGATCACCTCCATCACCATCACAAACAGTACTGGAGGGATTGGCACATCCCACTGCAGTTCCCCTCTGCAGCTCCACATACCTTGTGGTGTATTTCACAATTGAAAAACGCAGCATGAACTGATTGAAATACATACCTAGGCAATCCCTGAGTCTCTGCGGAACGTAGAACTCCAGCCCCAATTGTATCATGTTATGATGAACTGAATTGTACGCATTAGCAAGATCCAGCCAGATTACGTGAATATTCTTTCTTGCAGTCTTAGCCTCATGAATCTTTGCCCAAATCATTGGCACATGCTCCAAGCACCCTGGAAAAACTGCGACTCATGCCTTTTTGAATACTAGTGTCTATATAGTTATTCCTGAGCAGGTAGCTCGTCAGCCTCCTGGCAAACACCTTAAAGAACGCCTTTCCCTCAACGTTCACGAGAGAGATTGGACGAAACTGACTAAGAATCAACGAATTCTCCTCTTTCGGCATATACACACCATCGGCTCGACACCAACTTCCCAAACCTTCACAAGAAGCTTCCACATACACCTCAGCAGCCTGGGACACTTCTTGTAGACAGCATATGTCACACCATTAGGACCACCCACAGAACACGTTCTCAACACCTTGGACATCCTTCCAAGTCACTGGAGACTCATCAAAAGCTACTTCAGGAGCGCCAGGCCTGAATAAAACTGGCATCACCTCCGCTGGGACCTCCCTGTTGGCATCAGAGTACGTGCTCATAAGATGTCTATCCAGCTCCTCCCGCTCAACGCTCAATGTTCCACGAGTTTTCTCCCTAAACAACTGCTTCGTGAAATGGAAAGGACTTTCTGTGAAAGACTTCTGGGCCCTGGTAGCCTTCTATTTCTTTTTGGCAAGCTGTTCTGCTCTACTCAACTTGCCAATGTGCTTCCTTATGCCTTCCAGGATTGAATTGATTTTCACTGCCCTCTGCTCCTCATTAGCATGCATTGCTGCTCGTAATCTTCTTTCCTCAATGACTGGATGGTTCTCCGCCGCCGACTTTTCCTGCACTGCACATTTCCTTCAATCCAAACTTTATTTCCCAATAGTCACTGATCATGTCCTCAAGCTGGCGGACCACCCCTGAGTGTATGGATGGCTGCTGATAAGTCTTCATCCACCTCTGACCAGTCCTTATCCACAGAGGAAGGCAACTTGATACTCCGGTGACTGGATTCAGCTTCGAAAAAAGAATCCTGCAGGACATTGTGGTGTTCATCCTGGTCTCGACGACTTATCGACTACTGCCGTGTGCTTCTTTGTCACTAAATCACCGCCATATTTCATCTTGGTTTGGTATATCTTGCGACCTTTCGCTGACTTGACTCTTTTACAGCCATCACATTCCCTCAGGTTCTCATTGTTGTCATTACCAGATTGTCCGTTTTTAAAACCTTTGTAATCGTAGCAAGTCATGTGCTTTTTATATATGGCTATAATGTTGACATAAAAATAGATTCAAATTTCTATAAGTTTTACTTTATTAGCTACTATATTTCTCTAACTATTCAAATGTCGAATGTATAACTAATTCTAATTTTTACACCATATTAATTATTTCTAATTATTCCCTGTTCTAAAAACTCTCTTTCCTTTATAATTTACACCTCTTTATCTATATATTTAATTTAATTTTATTTTATTTAAATTTAATTTTACCTAATTTTAATATAAATTTAATTTAAATTTTCTAAATATATCAGGTCATCCCATAAGTTCTGCCCGAATTTTAACTTTTTGTTAAAATGAACGAAATTTAAAGAGTATTTTATAATGTCTAATGGAGCAGAACATTATTTTTATGTTTAGATGCATTTTTACTGATCAAATTTTATTTCAGAGAACAATAAAATTAAATTTTGTTTGATTAAAACCCTGCTAACATGGAAGTACTCAAGAATCATTTGAGTTCAAGAAAGGAAACACAGCAGCCGAAGCGGCTAGAAACATTCACTCAGTTTATGGAGAGGAATGTGTGAATGAAAGAACTTGCAGAAGATGGTTTGCAAAATTCAGAGGTGGAGATTTCACCCTTGAAGATGAAGATCGAACCGGACGTCCAGTTGAGTTTGATGAAAATCTTCTTGAAGCAGCCCTTGAAGAAAATCCTGCTTTATCAGTTGAGGAATTGGCAGTGGTTCTCAGTTCAAACCATACAACTGTTCATCGTCATCTTCAACAACTTGGAAAAGTTCCTAAACTTGGAAAATGGGTGCCTCATGAATTGTCTGAAAACAACCTCAAATCCCGAGTTGACATCTGCTCTTCTCTCCATTCTCGCCAACTTTTTTCACCTTTTTTGGATAGACTTGTGACTGGCGACGAAAAATGGATCTTTTATCGAAATGTTAAGCGTCGTAGACAGTGGCTTGGTAAAGGGGAAGGACCCCAGCCACAGCCGAGAAGGGAACTTCATGGGCAAAAGGTTCTTCTTTCAATCTGGTGGGATCGCCAAGGAATAATCCACTTTGAATTCTTACCACCTAATGCAACAATTAATGCTCAAATATACTGTCAGCAATTAGAGCGTTTGAACCAAGCTTTGAGGAAAAAAAGACCTGCTCTAGTGAATCGAAAAGAGGTGATGTTTCATCAGGACAATGCGCGACCCCACACAGCAAGAATCACGTCACAAAAGATCGAAGAACTTGGTTGGGAGAAAATTCCTCATCCACCTTATTCTCCTGATCTTGTTCCTTCAGACTACCATTTGTTTCGTAGCTTACAGAATCATTTGGAAGAAACAGCTTTTGTAACACAGGAAGAGGTTAAAACTGACATTTGTGAGTTTTTCGAATCAAAGCCAAAAGAATTTTACAGTAATGGAATTAGTAAGCTTGTTAATAGATGGAAGGAAGTCATAGATAATCAGGGAAAATACATTGTTGATTGAATCTGTAATTAAATGTAACATTTGGTCACTTGTTTTCTTTATTCAAAATTCGGCCCAAACTTATGGGATGACCTGACAACTTATTTTTAATTTATAAAATATATTTTACTTTTAAGTATAATTTATCTTTGGAAAGGTGTTTTTAAGTAGGAACTTGTATTTTTAAACTTCTGGCTTATATATATATATATATATATATATATATATATATATATATATATAAAAGCCTTTTCGTTCCTTTCTTAGTTTCAAATTAACACTTCACTCTTCATATAATCCCAATGTAATGTCATAAAGTTAATATCTGGGTTTAATTTTATAAAACCTCTTCCCTTTAAGGCTAATACTTTTTACCCTCCCCTGACCACTGGTTCGTGCCTTTCGTCTGACTGAAACATTGAAATGGATAGATTCTGTATGAATTTTTGAAATGCTGCCACAGTTACATTTCTAATTCCGACACGAATTCAAACTGTATACTGGGGTTGAATAAGACTGACGAAGTTTTCGTCGGTTGAAATAGGTGTATAATCCACAGGAGGTAATTTTGGATTATATATATATATAACGAAATGGACTAAGTCCAACAATTATTTTCATATTTATTGTTATACGTTTTATAAGCAAATTTTGACCTATTGTCGGACTGTATAACTTGTAGAATAAGTATGGATGTAAACCAATTTATCTGATACTATTAGTAGTATTATATATGTGAAAAAAAAAACATTTTAAGAATCATAATCTAAGAAAGATTAGTCGAAAGGTATATAAGAGGGTAGAAATTATATGAAAGGAGTTGAGTTATAATTTTAAACGTTTAGACGTTATGGATTTGGAAGTTTAGCAAGATTGTAATGTTACATCTTGAATTAATTTTCCTTATGTTTTTCGATGTTAAACATTCTCTTTTTTGTGTGGTAGTGACACAAATGTCTTTTTTGAACATAAGGGAACATAATGAAAATTAATTCATTTTAATAATATGTGAAAATAACCACACTTTGCCTGAAGAAGTTCACGAGAACCGAAACACGTGTTGCAAAATTATAGAAAATAAAGAATAATATATATTTTTTTAAAAATCCACATTACAACCAAAAACGTTTACGGTTTCTCTTCTTTTCAAATATACATTTTTTCTCTCGTTGGAACAACTGTAACCTCTTCCTATATTTATTAGATATATATATATATATATATATATATATATATATATATATATATATATATTTCAAATATAAAATTTGTCACTTAGCTGTTTAATATTATATTCAACATCCCAACTCCAGAGTTTTGTAGACGAAATCGTTCGGTCCACTCGTCAGTAATTATTTACCGATTTTCTCATTTTCGTTATTTTTATATTAAGTTGAAAAAATAATTTATGCGCTTTTTATTGGTTGATTTTTATCTTCTTTGTGTGTATGTGTGTATGTGCGTGCAACCTTTATTTTTCTTGTTTTAAAAAATCACTTTTAGTATTTTTCTCTTAAAAAAATCACTTTTATTCTTCTCTTAAAAAATAACTTTTTATATTCTCTTAAATTAATTTTGAATTTTAAAGATAGAAATGTTTTCACGCGTTTTATATTGACAAGATATTTTATTCATATAAATTTTTTCATTAATCGTCTTATAAAAACATTTCATGGAACAACCTTTTAAAGCAACAAAAACTTTTGACAAGCCTCATTTGTATCACAATTTTTATGTTTAAAATGTTCATTGATTACATTCTTCGTTTTTGATTTCTTTTCTAAGACACTAATCACTAACAGAACATTTTTTCCTTATATAAAGTAAGGAATGTTTCACTTATGGAATAATTTTTCAAGCAACCAAATTATCTGGAAAGAATTCCGAGAAATCTTCCTCCAAAAAACAATCAAACCTCGTCAAGTCTAGAATTAACCGTTATCTTTCCGAGATATCTTCATATTGAATTTTTTATGACCTGATTATACAACCACTTGCTTTAGTGAAATACCTCAATTTGAAATTTAAAAAAATGTATTGTGAAAAATTAGTTTTAGGCGTTTTATTTTCTGTAACATTGCATCAACTTTAATTGATGGGAATTCGATCCTAAAATACGTTATCGGTTTTGATTTTAAAATTTTTTAATATTGATTCAACAGATGATTGTCTGTCAAGAAAAAAAGTATGGAAAATACGATTCTATCCGTGAATTAGTCTCCCCTGTTTACTATGAACTTTTTATAAATGTGGCACCTTGCATTATTAGAAATATTCATAGAAATATGATTTAATTTTTTCTTACTCGGTTTATTAAACAGGTTGTTAATTTTTTTAAAAACGGAAAATAATTGAGTTGAAAATAATTCACTAAGATTGTACTAGACGATCCTAAGGAAAGAAGAAGGAAAGAAAGGAAAAAGGTTTGGAAGGAAAAAAAAAAAAAAGAAATGGACCATGACCTTGCAAAGGGTGGAGATAGGAGTCAGAAAGATATTTAGGTAGCATCTTGACCGATTTTTCGAAAGACAATTGGAAGAATAGAATTTAAATAATAAGAATAAAAGAAAGGGAAAAAAAGACATGATATCAAAACGGGTTTTTGATTTAGACCAAATCGTCAAAGCATCTATTACTTTTTTGGAAACTATTATCAAATTTGGAAAAATTTTTAGAACAATGAAAATGAAATCTTAATCAGAGAAAAAGTGTTTTTGGGTTGAGGGGAGTGACCGGTGGAACGATATACAGATCTCTGACCTGTTTAAGAATTGGACACCCACATAATAAAGTGGAGACATTTCAATGTAGATAATTAATTTTTCTGACTATCAGGAAAAACAAAAGACAAAAAGAGGGACAATTGCTTTTTGGCTCACAGAGGGCATTAAGAAGGCGGAAAAGATCCTTTCTAAAGTCAAGACTAATTAGCGGCGGGCTGTTTGACAAAGTCCAGGTGAGAGAAAGCCAAAGATTGTCATTTTGCGTACGCAAAAAAAGGAAAAAAAATTTTTCCCCAAAAAACAAGAACGATGTAACCACGCCCGCAAACAGGAGAAAGGATGTTCGATCAACAACTGCATTGGTCGAAAACGGTCACGTGACCTGCAGAAAGAAAAAGAAAGAAATTTCGACCAGGAACCAATTGGTCGAAAAACGGTCACGTGACTTGCGGAAAAGAAATGGAAAGAAATGCTCGATCAGAAACGATTGAG